TATAAAGAGAAGGCAGCACAGGTTAGATGCGAAAAAAGGTATGTTGTGGCTTTGACAGACCAAGAATCTTTGTAAAAGATCTCCCCTCTGGGAGAGCACCAATCTAGCAGGTGGATGTACCACTTAAGGTGCCCATACACCGTGCGATTATCGTACGATAATCGCGGGAAATCCCGCGATCGTACGATAATCGCAAAGTGTATGGAAGGCGTGCGACCGTTTCTACTGTACGGTCGCACGTCTTCTGTCAAACAAGCAGGCTGGAAAACCTGCCGAGAATCGTACGACCTGCTTGTTCGACAACTGCCGAACGGGCCGGTGTGCGCACCCGCACACTGCCTGTTCAGCATTGCAGTCATCGGAAGCCCGCCCCTCAGGGAGGCGGGCTTGCGATGATCGCAAGTACGATCTGCCTGTCCAAGATGGGTAGATCGTACGTTTTTTGAAAATACTTTACAACCCTCGCAAGACAAGTCTTGCGAGGGTTGTAAAGTGTATGGCCACCTTTACAATTATCTGCAGATTTTTCTGTGGTCAGATGGATAAAGTGTAACAGATTGGCCCACGTGGAGATTACTCCATCCACACAATTAAATGTAGATGGAAAAGTTGCAACAGATTCCTCCATCTGACCACAGAAAATCTGCAGATAATTGTAAGGTGTATGGCCAGCTTCACGAGTGACTCAAAAGTAATAATTGTATATTTTGTTTTTTGAAAGAACTGTAAGGATTTACATTGTTCAAATGGAAACATGTACACAACATTTTACTAACCGCTTACTTGGGGGAAAAAATAATTTCTTGTAGTCAAACTATTTGTTGGGTAGATTATTGAACTTTCGCTTAGAATTTTTCAAAACCGGGAAAGTTGACTGCTCATTTTGATGAAATTTATTTTTCCCTTAGAGAGAACAAGATGTTAATGGAGAAGCTGGAAATCTAGGAAAGTCTCGGAAGACTGCTGAAACCGCAGGGAACGAGGAGCCTAGAGAAATGATTACTCCTGCTCTACAGGAGGCTCTGACTAAACAAGGTGTGTTAAGCATGAGAACTGCATGCATTAAGTGTCTGTGACTTGTGTGTCGTGCCAAGTGTTAAACAGAATAGCCTAATGCTGTATATACTAAAGGGGCAGATATCTGTGCTTTCATGGGCCCTGATTATTCAGGGGAATATTGCACTTTTTTACCTTTTTTTTTTTTTAATGTTTCTTTATCTAAAGCAAGATTTTGCAGATTTTACAAGTATTTAAAATAACACTGAAGATGGGAGTGAAAATTGAGAAAAACACCCCACCCGCCCTTGGCTTTCGATTTTATCTTGTTTCTGATTTTGTTGCCCTTCAGCAGCCTTTACTTTATCCTCCTGAAGATGCCCATACACTGTACGATTCTCGTAGGAAATCGTAGAATACAGTACAGTGTATGGAAGGCGTGCAACCGTTTCTACTGTACGGTCGCACATCTTCCATCCAACAAGCAGGCTGGAAAACCCGCCGGGAATCGTACGATTCTCGGCGAGTGAGTGGCCTGCTTGTTCGACAACTGACGAAAGGGCCGGTGTGCCCGCCCCTCATTGCAGTCATCGCAAGTACGATCTGCCTGTCCAAGATGGGCAGATCGTACGTTTTTTTAAGTACTTTACAACCATCGCAAGACTAAGGTCTTGCGATGGTGGTTAAGTGTATGGCCACCTTTACTCCTGGCTCTTTGTTCCCTGCCCTCAACAACATTGATAATGGTCTCTGCTTTATCAGCTTCTTTGGGGGTCTTGGAGACCCCTGATGTCTGCATAAGGAGGACCTGTCACTATAATTTTAATGTGAGCTTGTGCCAAGTCACACAATTAACATTTTTATTTATTTTTTTAAGTCCCCTGCCCCCACATACACATGCAAATGTGCGTCGAATGCGCCTACGCATGAAACCGACGATTGCACCCATTTTCCGCACGTGTTAAATATCATCATGAATATCAGAGTGTGAGCAATACTTTTATGGCCATCAATCACTGTTAACGCTAAACTAATGAGCGGTAAAAGCTTTTAAAGCGTCGCCTATGGCCAATTTTGGGTGTGGTAGTTTTTTTTCTGATTTTTGCAGGCGTGTGCAATTTTAAGGTGTGACATGTTTGGTGTCTATTTACCCAACCTGACCCCATCCTTTTTCTATCTTTTCCCAAAAAAATGGGTAATGTTTCATAACATAAAAAAATTCTGTGTGGGAGGTAATCTCTTTCATTCAGCACCATCAAGGGTCAGATGTCTGCTTTGGCGATTTTTCTCTTCCAAAGACTGATTGCTTCTCGCTTTCTAGTGAAGTTCTTTGTGCAGGAGTTGCTTATTGTCCCCCTGTATGCTCTTTAGTAATTCAGCTTGGTTTTGTTGGCTCTTTTGAAGCCGCTATTTGAACCTCTCAGAGATATCCCTCTGACCTAACACGCAAGTTTACCTTCCTTGTTACCATCACTAGGCATGTTTCTGAGCTGGTGGCCTTTACTTGTAAAGAGCCTTGCCATCCACAAAGAAAAAGTAGTGCTGAGACTTAAGACCTCCTTTCTTTCTAAGGTGGTCTCAGCCTTTTCTCATTAACCTTAACATTGTTTTACCATCCTTATGTGCTGCATGGTAGCATCCTAAAGAATTTTACCTCCACAGTTTTGGACATAGTTTGGGCTGTGGGAGTTTACCTCTGCTTTAGTTTCTGTTCACAAGTCTGATCTCTGATTGCCATTCCTGAAAGTCCCCGCATAGGACAAATGGCTTCTTCTTACACTATAGCCAGGTGGATTTGTTGACCTATCACTTAGGCCTATGAGCTAACTGGTAAAGTTCTTCACTTTCTGGTCAAGGCACAGTCTCTACTTAGAAGCGTTGGTGCTTCTTGTTATTTTCAGCATTCAGTCAGTTTGCAAGGCTCTTTTGCCTTTTTCCCTCTATTGAACTGCCTGGTCCGGCTTCCAACAACACCCGGTGGGTGGTCAGTGCAATCCGTCGATGCAAAAAGACTGGTTAACTGGAGGGGAAATAAAACAATAGAGGACCTTCCTAACAGGACGAAAGAAAAGACTCTACTTCTACTTTTTGACGACCTCTGAAAGGACTCGTTTTATCTCACTTTGATCTGTACGTGGATGGATGGATAGATTTATTTATCTGTCACATACATAATCGTACAAGTATGATATGCAGTGAAATGCTTACACAACTGCAAGAAGATAGGTGGACTACTTATTTTGAGTATTATTATATTTTCATATACATTTTTATTTTTAATAATATATATTTTTTTATTTTCATTCTATTTTTAAAATTTTAGTTATACTTTTATTTATTAATTTGAATTTTCCCTTAAATAATCTGATAAGAGGAAATTACCGCTTGAATTATGGGATGTGTATGAGAGACTGAACTACTAAACGGGTGGAAGGGAAACATCAATAGCATTGATTTTGCTGTTTTTCCCAACCCTTTGAGAGAGACCTTCATTTAAACACAGGTTATGATCTAGGGATCCCACTCTGTCCCTCATAGAATAATAAGTCGGTATATACTATGAACCCTTAAAGTGATCAGTTCACAAATATTATTCTTTGGATAAGGTGACTATCTTTTGCACTAACCCTTTATTCTGATTTTTTTCATTGTAGACACTATAATTGGTTTATACATGCACCTGCACTATACGTAAGAAGGATATATTGGTATTTTGCACTTATATATGTATCTTATATCCACTAATTGATAATTAAATAATACACTAATTCCTGATGAGTGGGGTATATTAAATCTCGCCACAAAGTTGTTTTTTGGAATATTCCACATTGAATAGAAATCGCAGAATATAAACAAATAGAATCACACAAATAGTTTAATCCAATTTAATTTATTATCCATCAAGGCAAGTAGCACTCACAAAACTACCACCACCACTGTAAAACTTTATTTATACTGGTCTCAACAGTATTCACAATATTTTATTCACCAGAGGTATATACACTTATATCACTTAAATATCACAGAGCATACAATATACACAAAGAAATCAATACTATGTAGATTATCTAACACCAAGCGCAACATACTAGTTTCACCAGTTTGCAAGGCTACCACCTGATCCTCAGTTCATAATGTTTAAGTTCTACCAGGTGGATGTTCAGGCTTCTTCAGATGCCTGCTTTGGTTGCAGAATTCTTCAGATTGGTTCTCTTTCGGGGAGTTTTTTTTTTTTCTGGGGGGCTGTTTCTGTTCTTGTTACCTGTTGGGGTTTGTGTATTTTGTGGGCCTGTTGACTATCATTGCTGTGTTGCCCTCTTTTCTGTTGGGCTGCTTTTGGACGTCCAGTTGGTTTCAGAACTAGCTCCCTAACTCCCTGTGTAATGTGATTTTATGATCAAGAAAACAGGTTTTAAAAATGTTATTTTGATTATTACACAGGACCCCCTCCTCTGTTTTCTGTGATTCTCTTATACTGCTTCCTAAAAGACTGAGGAAGGCTGTGAGTGGGAGGGGTTATACAGGTTTGTCCTTGCAGCATTGATTTTATCAGTTTCCAGTCACCTGAAAGTAGCTGCATAACTCATTGATTCCAGAATTAATTTTCTGTGTCCTTTTTAATGTACTCCAAGAAAAGGATTTTACTGGTCATACATGAATCCTGTTTTTTTATGTTTTACCTGCTTACGGAAATGCCACATGTCTTGACTGTTCATTGTGGAAATCAACTTAAAACACTAAACATGTACATTTAATGTATTTCTACTGTGCATGTAGCTCTTGCCCAGAAGTTGTGTTGGGGTTTTTTTTTTTATATCTGAAATTAATAGCAGCATTTTTGGGCAAAAATAGAAAAAAACATTTTAACGTACTTAAAACTTCCCTGAACTACTTTAATTACACGCTTACCAAAATCATTGAAATTGGACTTCTCACTTTTTTTTTTCCATACTGTTGAATTAATATTTAGAATCCATATGGCATCACAGTTTATTTAGAATCCATTTAGCATCGTAATTTGCTCGTGACATGGTTGTATATTTTAGAGCACACTGGTAGTTTTTAATGAGTTGCACAGATCAGATGTGGAAGTTGGATACTTCTTGCCGGTCGTTTAATCGTTGATGCCATTGCAAGCTCATTACTTCGACTCATTGGGGTTGATTTACTAACCTTATAAACACACCATGAACGTGTATACACCTCTGTAGTGTGTTCCCTCCCAGCATGATCTATGGGAGGAATCGAAACACCTTTTGTAGTGTGTACACACCCAGCAGGTGTGTTGTGCAAAGCCCTGCAATGAATTGCAAGGTAATGTGGTGTAAATTAGCTCTATGTTATGTTGCTTGCGTTGATGAATGCAGGAATGTAAATGCATGAGCTAACCATTTTTGTCTAAACTGTGAAGCAGCATTATATATGCATCATGTGCATGATTTTTCCATATATGGCATTAGTGGAAATATGCTTTTAGAGACTTTTTGGTTGATAAATACGTTTTGCTGTGTGAAAATCACACACACCTGGTGCGTGTGTGTGTTTAGGTTAGTAAATCACCCCCATTGAATCAACACATCGATCAATGTTCAGAGTTAGATACTTATCCAAACAAGTGCAACAGCCCAGGCAGCATAAAAGCATTTATTCATAGAACCAAGGTCATAAGTGATTTGACAATAGAATACATTTAGGAATAATACTTTAATGGACAAATATTTTAAGGTCAAGCGTTTACTGAACTTGAGCCTTCACAATGATTACTTTCATATTAGTTAAATATCTTTTATATGTTATCTGGGGTTGAGTACCGTAGCTGTTTTTTCTGATGATTTTTTAAGTTGCTGGGCGTCATGAGCCATCCAATTTCTATATTAAAATTTTGCATTAGTTCTTGAATTGGTGGCTTGCCTCACTTGTTAAAGAGACGCTAAACTCAGGAATTAAATCTTAAATGTGCATTCCAGTATCACAATTTATTACACAAATAAGCTATGTTTTTATCACCCGGCTGTAGATCATAAAATCTTTAAATTCAT